AATAAAACCAAATCTTAAAACTCCTTCCCCTCCCACGCCTCCCTCCTTCCCAGGCTTAACTTTATTCCCAATTTCTCTACGTCCTCCCTGCCAGTGGCACAGGGGGATGCAGAATGGGGGTTGCGGTCAGTTCATCATGTTGTCTCTACCTCTCCTTGCTCCTTCCTCTTCGGGAGAACTCCTCATACTCTTCCCCTGCTCCAGCATGGGGTCCCTCTCACGGGAGACAGTCCTCCACAAACTTCTCCAACGTGAATCCTTCCCATGAGCTGCAGTTCTTCACAAACTGCACCAGCGTGGGTCCCCCACAGGGTCACAGGTCCTGCCACCAAACCTGCTCCAGCGTGGGCTCCTCTCTCCACAGGGCCACAGGTCCTGCCAGGAGCCTGCTCCAACATGGGCTTCCCATGGGGTCACAGCCTCCTTCGGGTGCCTCCACCTGCTACAGCACAGCGTCCTCCACAGGCTGCAGGTAGGCTGCAGGGGAACAGCCTGCCTCACCATGGTCTTCTCCACAGGCTGCAGGGGAATCTCTGCTCTGGCACCTGGAGTACCTCCTCCCCCTCCTTCTTCACTGACGTGGGTGTCTGCAGAGTTGTTGTTCTCCCATCTTCCCACTCATCTTTCTGGCAGCAAAAAACTGCTTGGGGTTGGGATTTCCCCCCCCCTCCCCCAACTCCGTTTTCCCAGAGGTGATACCACCGTCACTGATGGGCTTGACCTTGGCCAGTGGCGGGTTCGTCTTGGAGCCATCAGGCATTGGCTCTATCGGACACAGGGGAAGCTTCTAGCAGCTTCCCGCAGAAGCCACCCCTGTAGCACTCCTCCCATGCAAACCCAACACAGTGAGTGATCTCCCTGTCCTTAACTCAACCCACTAGCCTTTCGTTATAGTTTCTCTGCCCTGTCCAGTTGAGGAGGGGGGCTGATATAGAGGATTTGTTGTGCAGTCAGGGTCACCACCCAACAATATTGCTACCAGGAAATTACATATTGAAGAGTGCTCCTAAAGTATAGCTGATAGAACTCAAATCACACTGACCTTCCACATGTAGAAGTACTAAGTTAAGGAACACTCTAAGCAGTAAGAAGTTGCGAGAAGAAAAAACATCAATTAAGTCTGCAGTCTTCAATTGATCAAAACAGCTCCAGACATCATCTATCAGTGTACTACCAGTAGATCCCCCCCCAAAGGTATTTTTTCCTCTTGAAAAAACAAGCTATTACAGCTACTAGACACTAATTGTATGTAAGAAACATCCACTGTGTATTTGACACATTGCAAATTCTTCTGTTTCAAATCTGAATCAATATTAAAGGACAGCCAGCTATACCTACAGAAAAACTACATTCAATCTTGGCAAATAATCAAAAGGAAAACAGTCAGAATTAAGGCAAGTCTATTCAAAATAGTTTGACACAATTTAAGGGCACTACTCATCATTAATAGAAAGTAATTGCCAGAAATGAGGTAGAAATAAGATACATTTATGTTATCAATCCCATCTGCATCACAATTTTTGTCATTTTAGGTTTCTATTCTCCTTAAAAAAAAAAAAGAAGCAATGACACACATAATTTTTTCCACGTTATACGAAAAATAATCCTACATGAACAAAATATTCAAGGACAGAGAATGTTCAAAACAGTGTGCTACACTAGAATCATTAAGTGTACAGTAAGATAGGAAGTTTCATCTCTTACAGTACAAAGTACATACAGCACCAGTAAGCTGAAACAAAAATGTTTCAAACAGATACACATCTTCTTAGTATGAATATAATATATTTAAAGAGAACACAATGTCATTTCAGAAGGTTTCTTAGGGTTTGCACGCATTTACAAAGCGAAGAAGTTAAACTCTGTCTATATAAACTACTGCATACCAATTACTCACAGGTACTTTCCTGGCTCAAGAGTTCAACTCACACAGCTATGAAATGCTTTATATCCATTTATATCCTAGTTAGTCCATCAGGAATGTGGCCTAATTCAAACTGATTTTTATAACCTGTTCAAACTGAACAGGTTCACTAAGAACCCTTTCAGCCCAGACAGAACCTAATGCTCTGTTAGGCTTTTCAACAAAAACTGTCATAATTGAAAGAGACAGCCATACCCATCTATGGTATTAAAAAGTCTTCAAAAACAGAAAGGGAAACCTAAAGGTAAAGCTTGGTGATCATTTCCACCTCCTCCTGCCTAGGAAGTACTGTATGAATTTAGCATAAGTGTATTATGATTCAGAAATATAGACTGGTAAAGAAATTAATTCTCAAAAACATGTACAGCACCTTAAAAGGAATACAGAAGGACAAAACTATATGTATGTTTGAAGCAAAGACAAGGCAGTTACAACAGGAAAACGCCGCTAAAGTAGTTTAAGTCAAAATTTGGCAATACAGTTTTGACTTAAAAACGTTTCTAGTAGAAAAAAACATGAATTCGGTCACTTACTTTTGTGACAGAAGACTTTCTTCTTTTGGCTCCTGCTTTTTCTTCACTCGCCTCAGCAGGCTCCTGGCTGCTTTCTTGAACAGTTTCTTTGACAGGAGTGTTAACAGCTGGAAGGGTCTTCCCATGTAAAAACATCAAAAATGAGATCTAAATCCCTTCCTGAACTACATGGTAACAATACTGACAAGTGTTCTACCACCTGTACATTACTGAATAAAGCATCATGCTAAAGAAACCCTTATTAGAAATACAAGAATATTGAAAGATATCCTATTTCGTTAATTTCCATACTTTTCAGTTTAAGTTGCATTTTCATTACCAAACTTCCAACCTCTAATGCTATCATGATTTCTCTTCACACTACAAATACTGCAATGTAAGATTTTCCTCATATATAATAAAAAAAAAGAAAAAGTTGGTTTTGGTCAAATACCACTTATGATGCTACTGCCAAGATGTGCATTTTTTTAAATGAGTTATCAATCCCATGTGACCCAACTACCTGTTACTGTAAACATGAGCAGGGAAAAAAAAAAAAGACTAATTCTTTAGCCTTTATTATAAAGTTAAAAACATGGACACATAGAAGGTGAAGCCAAAATTACTCTCCTTTTATTCCATTACACTGTGGATAGCGTTCTCACTCTTAAATATTAGCTCCTTCAAACAAAGCTGGCAGAACTCCCCTGACTCTAATTTTTCCCCATTGAGGAAGTGGGTTTGGATTTAAGCCCAAGACACAAGCTCCCTTCTGCCCTCCACCTCCCTTACTAGCAGTTACAAGCAACATCTGCAACGTATAAATACTGCTTTCAGAACATTCCAGCCAGTTCTGGCAGTTAAACAGAAAACGTGGCTCTCAGAAGGACTTACCAATACAAAATATGCCCAGTAAAAGGACAGAAGAAAAAAAAAATTCAAGTGAACACCTCTATATGAATAGTTGACAAGTCTGTCACTTTAATATTACCTTGTATCCAGAATAAAAGCTCGATTTTGCCAACATCTCCACGTTATTACCCACCCCCCTGACCTTACCTGCTGTGTGACCAAAACCAAAATTACCTACTCGCCCTGAAATTTTAGGCTCTGATAACTCTACTGCCTTCCCTGCTACTGTCCAGTAACTGTGCTTAACTCTAAAAAATCATTTTTAAAATCAAAGAATTTTAGGTAGATCATATATAGAGATCAAGGAATATCTTAAGATACATTCATTCGTCTCCAAGACCTTAACTAAAAAAATTCCTATTCACCAATGCGTACTGAATATTCCAATATATTAACAGGCTGTAATACACTATTCTATTAAAACATTGTTGGAAATATAGCGTCTTCACTTATCAGTATACTTCTGTTACCTCTCCTCTCAGTCTTCATAACCAACTACGTGTCTTCACTTCCAAGCTCACTCTCTGCCCGTACCGATGGTCTCCCACGAATGGCGCCAGGGAAAAGAGCCAGCGAGGGCCGGGGCCGGCTGCCGCCGACCTGTGTGGAACCTGGTCTAGGACTGCCCTGAGCCGGTCACAACCGGTCCCAGCTGGTCCGGGAACGGGCAGAACAGACCCACCCACAGACACTAAATTGCGCCCACCAGAGAGTGCATGGCGCCTCCACCGACACAGCCATGGCAAAGAGGAGGAGAGCAGCCGCCCGGAAAGGGCTGGAGAGATGCTGCAACAGGGGGATGCCGACATGCAGACAAGACACCTGTACAGGGCATGAGGGACGCCGAGGCAAAAGAGGTGCCAGGGCGGGAGGGGCGCTGGAAGGAGGAGGCAGATGAGGAGTCACCCAAGCCAGGCTCCAGCCCAGAGGAGCTGCCAGAGCGGGGGCAGAGAGGGGACAGAAGGAACACCTCTGAAGGGACTGCAAGCCCTTGGGGAGAGCCGACTCCCAAGCAGCTGAGTAAGAAACAAGGAACAGCAAAAGCAAAGCAACCACTGTGCACCAGCCTCAGTCTCCTGTGCCACCACTGCCTCACCCAAGGGGCCGACTGTGATGTGAGGTGTGGGGACTGGAGACCAGCAAGTGGAGAGCAGAGGTGGCCACAGGGAAGCTGAGGTGTGTTTCTCTTTCCCGTTACCAGAATCAGTAACAAAAAGCTTCTGTCAGTTGGTTAAGTTGTGCCAAATTCCTTGACACGGGTGTTTTGCTGCCTGTACCATACCCCTCTTTGGCAAAGATGGGAAGGCGGGGCCTCAGAAGCCAATTTCAGCCACTCTGTTACCCTTAAAACAGGTACAAGCTTCCCCATAAACTCCCAATAAAAATGTCTAAATATCTACATCAAGCACTCTTAAACTTCCTTTCCTTCCCTGACATCCTTCCTACAACATCCAGAAGCCCTACCCCTCAAAAAACCCTTAGCTGTTAAAGACAGTCACAGAGACTGCTATCAAGCAGATAAACATCCTTCCCTTATTACTAGGAGGGAGAAACCGTACACACTTGTTTCTCCAGCTTTGAGAATATGATGCTAAGGCAACATCCACTTGAACAGGAAAGCTGCAACGTAGTAAAACGCTGAGGGACTAACAAGAACATGAAATAAGGTACCTCTAAAGTCTCATCTCTGTGAACTGTATGCTACCCTGCAAAGTACTGAAGAAATAAAGCTCATTTCAGCACATTAGCTGCAACCAGTAAAACAAAACAAAAAAAACCCCAATATCACACTGCAATTTTCTTGTTCTTGGAAAGGTGGGAAGTTCCTTCACCTTATCTATAATAGAACAGAGATGTAATATTTCAATTCTAAAAGGTAGTGCTTTGTGAAAGAACATGGAAGATCAAGAACTGATTGACCTGACAAAGAAACTACTTCTGAAGTAGACCTCTACAATTTTATTTCATATCAAGTAACACTTAAGTCAGGACTTAAAAGGCAAATTATTTTATAGAATGTCAAATCTGGTCAGCTGTTTGCAGATGTACTCTTTAAGCACTAAGAACTGCCTGCAAGAAAAAACAAGAGCTGGCTAAATCCTAAGGGCTTGATTTGCTCCAAATCAAACTTGCATTTTTTAATGATGTATAGCACAGGATAGAAAAACAAGGCTATCAAAAGAAAGGCTTTCTAGAGTTAAGGTGAAAATTCCAAAGAAACTTTGTCTACTGAATTACTGAATGAGCGAAGTAAATTAATCTGGTCCAACCCTTCCATTTAAGCAGGGCCACCCAGAGCTGGCTGACCAGGACCACGTCCAGATGGCTTTTGATTACCTGCCAAGGATGGAGACTCCACAGCCTCCCAGGGTAACCTGTGTCCGTGCTTGGACACCCTCACAGTAAAAAAAAAAAAAAAAAAAGTTTCCTGATGTTCAGAGGGAACCTCCTGCGTTTCAGTCTGTGCCCATTGCCTCTGGTCCTGTCACTGGGCACCTCTGAAAACAGTCTGGCTCCGTCTCTTTGCACCTTCACTTCAGGTATTTGTATACACTGATGAGATCCCCTCTGCCCCCAAGCTCCCCAGGGCTGAACAGTGCCAGCTCTTTCAGCCTTTCCTCAAAGCAGAGATGCTCCAGTCCATCATCTCTGTGGCCCTTCATGGGACTTTCTCTCCAGTATGTCCGTGTCTCATACTGAGTAGCCCAGAACTGGACATAGTACTCCAGTTAAGACATCCCTACTAAGAAAAGTTTCTTCTTCCAGTAATTTTAAAGCTCACTTAAGGAACAGATTTTAAATATGACTCGTGGAAAGAAAAAGTTATTTGGTTGGTTTTAAATAAAGAAATAGTGCAGGAAAAATGGCAAAGAACAACCCAATGGTTCTAAATGGAACCTGACGAGTTCACAGAAAAACTCTTGTGAAAGAGCTATCACCGAAGTGAAGTGTCTGAATGAACTCAAAAGGTGGAAAGGACTACCCTGCAGAAAAGCTGCTAGACTAAGAAAACAGCCTGTATGTATCTCTTGGCAGCATGGTCTGTGTATTTCCAATTGGAAATGTATTTAGGAATGTCTGACATGCTATGAAAGCAACCCAGAGCACTGCTTCATTGAAGTTACTGACTCCTGCTGTGAAACAAAATATTAGACAAGCTTGTCACCGATGGTTTATATGCAGATTTTCACCTTGCTAGAATAACTGGCAACATACAACTCAATTATGGTTCGCAACTGCCTCAGCCATCTATGAAGCATCTCTCCTAACTGTCACAAGAAACAGCGAGAAGGTATACCAACCGACTTGTATTTTACATCAGCAGAATCTGTCCCTTATTAATACAGTCTTTCCCACTGTGATGAGGGGATTTGCATCTTTCCATATCCCAGAGCAGAAAAAGCTTACATCTGGAGTACATCATCTCTCTACTTCAGAAACTCCTCCACTCTTTATCCATGTTCTCCTTCAAACTAGAAACACAGTAACTTGGGATATCTTATGAAGCAGGGATTAACGGGTGCTGAAACGGCAATCTGGCATGTTGTGCAAGAGCAGCAATTAATACCTAAAGATACCAATTCTTTTTATGATTACTGCAGCATTGCCAAGAAGGCCCAGTACGTGATGAGGGTCCAGAGTACACATCAAAACCAAGAGGCTACAGAATGTTCAGAGCAGGTAGGCAAAGACAAAATGAGAAAGACAATTTGTCTTCAGATTAAATTTGGGTCTTTTTTATGTGTAGTACTGCATAGCTCCAGTTTAAGCTTGGAAGATTTACAAAGAGGGCAAGAAGTGAGGACCTACTGATGGATAAAAATTTAATCAAGCAAGTCATATGACAGTTTGGGGGCAAAAGGCAAGCATCGCGTTGCTTCCAACTGCTAGAAGGAAAATACGCTAAGAAAGCATGTACTGAAATACAAGAATACTTGTGCAGAAAAGCACTTGGGTTTAGAGGACAGAAAGAAGTAGAGTGACTGAAATTTGAAAAAACTACCATTTTTCAAGCACAGGTGTACAGTTCCAAATATAAGTATCTCAGGAATATATGTAAGTGTATATATACAGCTATAAGTAAAACTTGATGTGTACTGTAAAAAGTGTTAAACTTTTAGCCTTGTGCTCTGAAAACTGTCAACACAATCCCTCATGAGCTTACTATAATAAACAGAAATCCCCAGTTAAACAACACCCCCATCTCTTTTAGGCTATTAGTACTACAGATCAATTAAAAATAAAATAAAAAAATAAATTGGTCTAACTCCCAGTTGAACAGCAGGGAAACACTCCTTGCCTTTCCCCCCCCACCACCAGTGTAGCAACAAAGATTTGCAGACTCTGCGTAACTTACCTGATGATGAGAGAACTTAACTTTGGGATTGTTGTCGATTTCCCACAATCCTTCATTAAAACCCTTCCTTTTGTTTGGTTTGCCATATTTATCTTTATTTTCAGAGTAAGGGAATATGTCCTTTGGTCCCAAAAATGCCCTTATAGAGAAAAAAGAACAAAAAAGAACAAAATTTCATGTTTTAAATGGTTAGTCCTTTCAAAGAAGCAAGCACCAAATGTTACTAATATATGAAATTCATTACTACTGCAACAACTAGTTCTGTTACATAAGTGTCTTTAGTTTTCCCAACTTTTGCCTTCAACAGCCCAAGTTTTCCATTACTACCACCACACATATAGAGTCCCTCCTCCCCGGAGTTTTAAGTGTCCAAGCATGAAACAGCCAATGCTGCATCTTAAGATAGCTGCTGATAGGACAATCAACTACTGTGAACTAGAACAATTAAAAACTGGGTAGCTCACAAACAAACAAACAGAGCAATTGCTTCCTTAGGAAAAAAAAAAAAAAAAAGAAAAATCAGACTTAAATGTTAAGAATAAGGAATCCTTGAATCTGGACAATGTAATGCAAGAAAACAATTTAAAAGAAAAAATAGCTCTAGGCTAACAAAGAAAACCTTTCAAAGTTATTAAAAATAATCCAGTTAAAATATAAAATTTAAGAATAATTTCCTGGTGTATTGGACACATGAAAGTAACACTTGAATATGCTGCCACATCTTTGTAAGAATGCTATGTAATTCAGCAGTTTTTCAGTGTGTAACAATAGGACCTCATAACATCATTTACTGAACTTAACCAATAAAAACTTTAAACTGTTCCTTATTTTAAGCTTCTCCTCCAATCTTTTTCTTGATGAAGTAAACATTAAGAATATTTAATTTTTATTTAAGCAACTCTTGCAGTAGAGGTCTTCACACTGCCTGTGTACCTTTGTCAGACAAACAAATAACGTTCCTGGATACCACTACCCCTACTGTAAGCTGTGTAACTACAGCTTTTAGCCTAGTAGCTTTTCCTCATATGGTGAAGTCACAGTATCCACACTACTATCTTCTCTAAGTTAGACTTGGGAAAACAAGGTAACATATTACTGAGAACCAATATTCTGATTTATGCTGAAGAACAAAGACTGTTTAATTCCTGCTCTACTTTAAAGGCCTTAAAGTTAGTATTTCAGTGTAGTAATCCATATGCTGCTAACAGAAGAAGACAACACTTTGGTGGTACATTCTTTTCACTCTGTGCCTAGACACAGCTTTGTCTGATCGTATATATGTTAGATCAAACTATTTGAAAAGTTGCAGATACTTGCTTTCTAAAGTATCAGTTCACAGAAAAATTTAGATACTTTAAGCTCCACTCTCCTATTTTCTTCATCATCTTTAAAAAAAGCTACTTGAGTCTTACAACCTATTAAACAAAAAAAGAACATATAATCATCTAGAAAGCTTAAGCATTTCCTACTCCAGCAGTAAAACACTCACCTGTGTGTACAAAGTATTAAGTAAGCCACTGTGACAGATTAGACTGCAAATCACCCACCTCTTTGCAAGAGATTGTTAGAGAGGATTCAGCCAGTGTGGGAAACGTGCACCTACACAGCCTGCTTAACCAGACTAAAAAGAAGGGGAGACAAACAGAAATCGGGAGACACAAAAGTAGGATATATTGCTCTCTTCTTATCATAGAATCACAGAATGGTTTGGGTTGGAAGGGACCTCAAAGACCATCTAGATCCAAACCCCCTGCCATGGGCAGGGACACCCTCCACTAGACCAGATTGCCCAAAGCCCCATCCAACCTGGCCTTGAACACTTCCAGGGAGGGGGCATCCACAGCTTCTCCGGACAACCTGTGCCAGTGCCTCACCACTCTTCACAGTAAAGAATTTCTTCCTAATACCTAATCTAAATCTACCCTCTTTTAGTTTAAACCCATTACCCCTTGTCCTGTCACTATGCTCCTTGATAAAGAATCCCTCTCTAGCTTTCCTGTAGGTGGCCTCTGGGTACTGGAAGGCTGCAGTAAGGTCTCCCTGTAGCCTTACCATGAAGGGAAGCATTTTTCCAAGGTCTGTAAGCCTCTACTCATATTGCTCAGGCTTTGAAAAACACCAGAAATCAGCTGCGATGAAAAGGTCATGTAGCTTACAGGGTTGTAGTTAAATCACAAAGAAAAAGGAACAAGAAAATCGAATGAAGAGAGATTGCCCTAATAGATAAAGTCCGGAAATTAAAGTTCGGTGTGACCTTCTGTCTGTGACCAACCAAAATTTGCACTGATGTGATTTACTGACGCAACAGATCCAAACAAAGCTTTTCTTAAAATAGCGTCTAATTTATTACTACTTTCTTTTAGGAAAGGGTACTGTTGCTGCATTAAGACAGTATGGAAAAAAAAATCTCAACCAAATTCCCAAGAATTTTTAAGAATATTTTAAGAAGCACGTGTCTGTTCACTGCACAAAGGTAGCAATACATTTAGTTGTGCTTGACAGAACTTAGCGAAAATCAACAATAGCATTAAAGTACAAGTTTATACTTGTTTATAGTAATCTGCAAAACTGAATTAATATTATTCCTAGCAGTCAAGTAGGAATTATTCCCTATAAAGTCTGGTTTTCATTTTTCCCCATAGCTCTTCTTTTCCTACTGTAGACATCCACACAGCTAGAAAACATCGTCCTTTATACAGAAGGACTTCTTAGTACGATTATCTGGATTTTCAAAGTTACCACTACTTCCAGTAAGATCAGCTGTAAATGTACAGACTAGTAACACGCTGAAGGTACCCAGTGTCTAACCCTGCACAGGTGTGTAACTAACCATGAGAAGCACAGGGGAGAACAAGTTTACCAAATTTATTTTAGTTCCTGTGAGAAAGTACAGAGAAATGATAGCTCTACCTAATTCCTGATGGATCACTAGTCACTATTTACAGCTACAAATCTAAATAAAATTACATGCCGTGGAACAGCATTCCTCTTTTTTACCTGATCTGCTCCTTCCTATTGTTACTTACAGGTATCTGCTGTAATCAACAATAAGAAAGATCAAGAAGCACTGTTTCTCCACTCTAAGGAGCACAAGATAAGTGACCTGCTTAAAGAACAAACACCACAAGACAGCTGGGTCATGGAACATCCTGTACTTCGCAGTGTGTATGCAAGAGACAGGCAGTTTCTCTTCTATTGTATGGATTTCTGAAATCTACAGCCTAACAAAAACCAGATCACAGTAAAACTTTATTTTTTAATAACATCAAAGAGTGAGGAACAGACATTTCAAATTTACCCATGTAAAAAATTTAATTAAGAAAAACAGTAGGACTAAACCCAAACTAGTACAGGTTTTAGTCGTTTTTAAAACCAAACCAAACCCAACAAATGTAGCACTGAAGTCTTGGAAATCTACACTACGACAACCAGTCATGCCATGAAGTAACACGGTAATTTTCAAATAGACGGAAACGCATAAAACCCAACACATTTACCATCAAGTTTAGCAGTGGAAGAAATACAGTCCCTGAAAACAAATGTATGATTCCAAAATGCTACCATTGCCAAAAATACCCAAAGATAAAATATTTTGCAGGTTGAGAGGTATAAAGCTAACTGCACTTACAACTTCAAAGCTCTCTAGAAAAATAAAACCAAAACCCAATATATGATTATTTGTCTGTTTCTCAAATTTTGCCTATTTCATTGTTCTCAGCCTTATCTCAATTTCTTTGAGAATATATTGTTGAGAATTTTGAGGACATATAGCACTGTAGTTAAAATACATTACTGAAGAAAGAAAAACCTATCAGTCATATCACTGTGGGTAGGACATATTTTCCCTCTGATGAGGAAAGTACATGGTATGGTTATGGTCTACCACTCCTTTGAACAGCTTAAGTGAATGTTAGAGAAGCAGCTCTTCTCAAAAAAGATTAGTTTAGGAAGAGTTGGTCTGCTACTGATTATTATAGTTTAAAATACACTACATTCAGACAAGCTGTTAACTTCTTGTTACAGCATTCTACCATGAAAAAAACACGACACTTAAATATAAAGGACTTACGTCTCGTGTGTGCCAAAAAAGAAAATGGGCATTTTATTCGTAGGAGGTTTTACTGCTCCATCAGGAACTTCATCCACCTAAGGAAAAGACACACTATAATTCAAGTCAACTAACAGCTAAGAACAGCCTAGGGGGAAATAAGTAAATGTTAAGCATTAAAAAAGAAAAAAACTACAGAAAAGTAGAGTAAGTCTCAAGATCTCTTTTTAACTGTGTGTTAAAAAATACAGCAGAATCAAAGACAGTATTAGCAACAATAGGAAATGACAACACTTCTCATGTTACAGCAACACTTTTCGTATGACTGCCTGCTTTAAAAGGAGAGACACGATGTGCTACAGGTAAAACACAATTCAATTCCGTCCAAATACCACCACTCCTTCAGCGCAAGCAATAGCGAGACGTCCTACCCTTACGCTGAGCTGGTACCTTGCCCAAGCCCAAATGTCAAGTGCTACAAAAAGGGAAGGTCAATAAACTTTAAAAAACCCAATTCTTAAGCCAGCATCTTAACTAAATACCTCATAATTAGTCTTTTATCTACATTCCCACAACCACCAAATGACCTACCATAGTCACAGAACTTGCCCTGCTTCTTCCAAGGGAGCAGGTAGAATGCTAAAGAGAACTGGACAACTTAGCACACGCGCTTAGTTTAGTCTACAGGAAGCACTATAGGAATCGCTGACTTTAGGAGAGGGTAACCCTGTCATAACTTTGTGTTTTTCTTTTATCAAGAGTGAGCAGCTATTTGGGAACAGTATTTTTGTACAGGTCAGAGCTTTACAGCTCCAGCACCATGCTACCATTCAGCAGTCTTCATTTTTAAAAGCTACGTTATGCAAATAAGAGCAACTAACGACTACTAGAGAGGGCTACTTCTTCCAGAAGAAGCGACTTGCAGACAAGCATACAGCAAGAGCAAACCACAGCACGGGATCTGCAATGTGATTCAGAAGTTGCTTCCAACTACGGGAGCGCTACCGTGCTCTCCCTCACACGGGAGGAGGCTGAAGGCACAACACAGTTTAACCGCACTGCTCTCCACAGGTGTCTGGGAGCACTTTTTGCAACACAAAACAGCGGGAGGGGAGACGGAGAGAGTCGGGTGCAGGGTAGAGCGGGGGACAGGTACAGAGCAGGAGGGCGTCGCGGCCTGCAGGGGAGGAGGGGGTGCCTTACCCTGGCTGGCCAATGGGGATAACCTTTCATCTTGGCAAAGATCAGGTCTCCGGGTTTGAAATCTCGGCTCATGTTTTCTCACCGACGCGACGCCTGTTGCCACTAGACGAACTGGGCCGAGAGGAGGGTCTGCACCTCCAGTCACCGGCGCGCTATCAGCCACCTGAGGTCCCGCTGCCGAGATAAACACACCGGGGCAGGGGAGAGGAGACAAGGGTAACACGGGAGGGAACATCAACAGCGCGCTCCGCAAAGG